CCGTCCACCTCTTAAAATGTAAAAAAAATAAATCTATAAAAAATCAAAATCAAAATTTCTGAATAACCTGATTTTTTATTTACATCAATTTTTCATCATCGAAACTTTTTCTAGTGAATTTTTGAAGTGCACCTTAATTAGATTGTTTTGGGCATCACCCTTGTATAAACTTTTTCCTTCATCAAAAGGTAGAAAAATATATATGTACTTTCTTTTTAAGTCAATCCTATGCACGAATGTGCAATTTATCACACTCCCTTGGCAACAAGGCATCTAGCAATAAAAATATATAGTAAGATAATTGATAAGAAGGTCATACTTATCCATTGCTATTGGAGGTAAAATGAGCAATTAGGGTGAGCCATTGATTAGGCACAAATTCCAAAGCCTTTAAGTAGTCACATTTCACAAGCAACAACTAAAAAACCATTGTGATCTAGGCCTCATATAAAAAATAAAATAAAAAAAATCTAGGATTATGAACTTTGTTTAAGCAAAACATTGCATAAAAATTAGTGACAATTGATTTCCTATTCCATAAATTACCCATTTGGATCCATGAGAAAATGTGCCCGGAGCTCTAGTTTTGTTGCCCTACAAATATTTTTCTAGCTTTCATATATGAATTCCAATTACATCTTTTTTTATGGGTAAACGATTCCAATTAGATCTTGGATGGGCCGTTCTGTTCCCTGAGAGGTTTTGGTAATCAAATTTTGAGTAACTTGTCAAACCTAAAAACTTTATGAACTAGGATTTAAGGACAAGCACCATGGATGTCGGGATCGTGAATGTAATTCTTCTCTTCCCTAGGTTTTGACCTTTATGTAGATCATGCACATTAATTAAGCTTCAAATCAATGACGAGGCCAATGAACTCCAAAAACAATGATAGATAACATTCCAAAAAACAAAAAAAGAGAAAGAAAGAAAAGAAAATAATGACAGATAACTAGAGAAGTAACACAACAATCACAAGAAGCATGGTGTTAGTGAATGAAGTCAAACTAAAGCCGAATAGCTTAATATCTCTTGCATTCTATGCCCCTTTCATTCCCACATAATGAAATAAATAATAGAAGACTTGAACTCGAGAACTAAAAAATTGGCGCTTTCGCTGTGCTCAAATCACATATTCTACATGAACAAAGAGTATATATTATGGATCCAAAATTGTTTACATACAACCGTAACAGCACGGCTTAATATAGAAGCCACCATTGGGAGCCAAAGTTCAACCTTCCAATGTGGAGATGAGATGTACTGCCAAGTTGCAATGTTTATCATTAGGTTTGTTAGCCAGATGAAAGCCTCTGGTTAATGAGTAGGTTCTCTAATAGGCAAGCCACACTCCTCCCTGGGGCCACAACACAAAGAAAATGCCTTCTGATGAACAGTGAGAACGGACTCGACCATAAGTTTAGCACCTAAGCTTCACAAATCTCTACATTTTGCACTCAATAGACAAATTTCTTTGCTTCACAACATACTTGCCAAGCCACACAACAACAATAGTACCATAACAATGGTAACACACTCAGGGTTCTTTATAATAGCAAATATATTTTGGATCGTCACAATTTTCATTATTTCTTGGGGAGATGATGACATTAAGGTCAATAATCATGAGGAATTTAATGCATTTCAGCCTCAATAAATGTCAGCCCTTGCTTTGTAGAGAATTCAGATGACTACTACTGTTGTCTAAACATGAATTCTTAGATAACTAGTTTTGTCTAAACGTGAATTCCAATAGAGGATAGGTGTACATTTTATGACCAAAAGATATTGACCTTTTTAAAAACATTTAACCATGAGAACATGTAAATCGTCTTTGTGTGTGCATGCATGGAACATGAAGAGAGAGAGAGAGAGAGGATACCTATCCAACATACAACTTTTGATCGGGACTAACACTTGAAACGCCTATTTTTGAGGAGAGAGGATACCTATCCAACATACAACTTCCAATCGGGTCAGACTAACATTATACACTTGAAGTGCCTATTTTTGAGGGAGAAGATTGTTCTTTAGAATTAACAAGGACATAAGTGATCTCTACAAGTGTAGCTATCCATTTCTGTGCATAAGGTTCGTGCAAGTTTCTCTGACACATGGTCACAATACTTCCAACATCCTCCAATAATTTGTCAGTCTGCTGTATATAAACGTAAATACATGTGAAATGCATAAAAATAGTTTTATAATGCATGAAAGAATATAACAGTATGAAATGCACAAAAATAGTTTCAGAATGCATGAAAGAATATTACAGTATGAAACATTTGGTTGGAAGATAGCACCAAACAGAGACATCACATGTGAGGAACTTGTTGAACTTTGTCCACAGCCTTCATTGGCGACACCTACTCTTTGGAATTCCAAAGAATCATGTGGGGCTTAATCATCTTCATATCTATAAATTCCTTTACAAGTTGAATCATCAAATCAGTTCCCTTAATCAACCCATTTTCTGAAGAACCAGATTTATTGCTTATGTAGGCCTCAAACAATCACTAAGATCATACAAACAAGTAATGCCTGATTGATGAGTTAGATGCCCATTTTCATCATAAATCTTTTCTGAATCTATATGTGCTTCTTCAATGGTAAGATACAATTCCTCAGCTTCAGGGACTCCTTCGTTTTGTGCTGTTGCAAATGCAAGGCTTTCTCTACTAATCCCATCCATTAAGTTCCATGTTGGTTTTTCTTGATGCCTATTTTACCATCAAGCTTTTTTGACTCTATGTGCTTCATCGATGGTAAGATCAACTCCTCAGCTCTTTTGATAATAGAGCTTCAGGTAACCATCAAATCACAAATTCCAAGTAATGCTGCAGGACGAATTGACGGAAGCAATATATTTACCACTACCATTTGGCCCCATCAACATAAATAAGGAATGCAATTTGATAGTATTTTATATAGCATTTCCTTGAACTGCATAATCCTGCGATCTCCATGTAGTCATTTTCCCATGACAAACTACTTCCATATATCCATATTCATAAAATGAGACGAACTTATATAAAATATGAGAATGGGGAAACCATCAAATTCTTCTTTGGCTAAGATAAACTCGAGATCTTTGATATAGTTCAGCCACAACAATCAAAATAGCTGATTCAACATGTCTGGCAATCCTTAGGACCTCAAAATTTCTACGAATTAATAACCACCAGCATAATTATATTTGTTTACAAATAAGTAAAAATTTTCTCAAACAATTTCTAAATAACTGAGATAACCGACACTTTTCCATTCAATAGGAAAATATTCATATTAAATAGTTTTTTGTGCTATTATCAAATTATGAGTGAATTTTAACATATTACTGCAGATTTATAGAACTTCCTTACTGTGGGGAAGACCCTTTTCCTCCCCCCTTTGTTGCAAAATCCAAAGAGGGAGTTAGAACCAGTATGCATTGCATTGGGAAATGTTTGCAAAAAAACTAACCTAATTATATCAACTGAAACGAAGACGTTCTTGTGGCTTCCACTATGAATGGTGCGAGCTGAGATGGAACAAATAACATTACTGCACAAGCATATCTAGAAATAATGCTAAAACTGCTCATAATTTGCACAAAATAACATGCCCATACCCCTAGTCATGACATAAATCAACATTTAGAGAAGAAAAGCCTACTGGAGAAAATGACGCATGTGCTGCATTATTTGGGATTAAAAAAACTTTGTAAACGAAATGCCAAAAACATGTACATCATACGAGAAAAAATATTGACATAGAATCGGATACATCATGAGTGTATGAGATGACATCTGAAAGTGTGCCAATTCCATCTAAAACATTTCAGAAACTTTTTATAGACATGGGATACACCCATTTGTTTGCAAGTTTCACTGCTTAGAAGTTACTTTGGTGATTGTGAGTACGAAGCAAATGAGTTAAGGGTCCTCATCGAATTAAACCTAATTCACCTATGATGGATTACCATGTCTTCTCTCATAGCAACAAAATTCGTGATTCACTTAGGCTCTCGATTTCATTAGATATTTCATCCTGTTAACTACCGAAAATTCAAAAGGACTTCAAGTTTGATCCAATGACAATAGCAAGTCATTAGTTTTGACTATCACAGGAATTAGCTAGAAAAATCTTGATTCATCAGACAAGAGTACTTTTGACTTAGTCCCTTGGGGCACTTCAAAATTATGTCTACCAAAACAAATAAATATATTTGAAATGGCATGCTTGTATCTCTATAGTTGTCCTTGCCATGGAAAGCTCATACCCAGTTTACTTGTAGAGAAAAAACAAAAAACTTATATCTTCATATCCATTTTCTTAAAGCAAAACTTTTAAGGTAACAAAACCAAATAAAGTTATATGGAAATAAAATATGAATAAGAACTATTTCAGGGGTAATGGAATCTACTAGAGCCAAATGCAGATAAGCCAAAAAGGGATAGAAAGGAAATGAAACTAACTAGTATTATGATGATAAGGGTGTAAAATGCCGAATTTAAGACATGCTTGGCCAAAGAAGCCTAGAAACAATATGTCGGACTTCAGAACCATATCACATCGTACTATAAGATCGACCTAGTGTTGTTCTTCAAATTGTTTGCATAGTGATTGAGATGAATTATCCACTTTCTGATATCAAAATCTATGACAAATAATAATATGCTAGTATCGAGTTCCATATGAGTTTGCAAATTCAAGCATAGCATAACATCTCAAATGAAAAGTCACACCATAACCTATACGGGTACTAGCCAAATTGTTTGCAATCCTTTCAAATCTTGAAGACAAATTAAGGTGGCTCTCACTGTATGAAGTAGGCCTGACATGACCAAAGAATGCCTTCACAGTAACCGGCAACATGGATGAGTAGACAAGAACATTTATCTTAATTTGCAGTTTGGTAGAAATTCCTCTCAAAATATCCATGACAATTGACTTGGCTCAGGCATTTTTCTCATGATAACTAGTTGCAAATTCAAACAAATTTGACAAAGGAAATTGCCTCAAACAAAATTCAAATGAAGATAGTTTCTAATAACTACATGGGGTTACATATTTAGAAGACATCAAGTTTCATTCAAAACACATGAAGATCTTCTTTACAAATTTGTCCAATGATCACCTATTCAGTGCTACTTCCACCCTTTAAGTTGTAAACCATCCATCTCCAACAATTTTCCCTTTAGAATCAGTGGCAGGTTTTAGTCTCTTAATTTGTTCTTCACCAGAAGTACCACCTCAAACAGATGATATGAAATGCTATCCTTTAAACCAAACAGCTTCTTGCTCTCTGGCATAGGTTATATCACCTCCCCCCTCTCCCAAGACCACCATGTGGAGGCATGACAACTTTTACTCTTTGAACTATTGGAAATCAGTATTCAGCAACTTGGAAATGAAACACGATATGCTGTTACTCCAAAGATGGGATGTAGAGATGACCAATTATCAATACAATAGAGAAGTATTTTAGAGCCTGCAAATGAACTATGTTAAAAATAAAATGACGCAACAAGTAAAGCACTTTAAACATAACAAAATGTCAGACTGGAGAGTTAGGGTTAAACAAACTCTCAATGATACTAAACATCTGCAGAATTCAGCTCACATATTTATTTACAAGACAAACCAATTGTATGGTTATGAACACAACAAATATCAGCATAGGGGTTCCCTGCAAAATTTGTCCATCTCTGCACATATAGATTCCAAGGGGTACCCGAGAGAAATTAATGGCATCTCTTAGGATGTTAACCATTGGCAAGTTTGAGATGTTAGCATTTACTTGGGATGACAATTTATTACCTCAGCTGAAACACACAACAATTTATTACGTCATTTGAAACACACATTGACTTGTATTCAACTCGTAAATAATACAACAGAAAAGAAGAGGCGTAAGATCAAGAGAAAGAAAAGGGGGAAAAACGACAAGCATGATATTAGCAAGGGTAGAACATAGAGACAGAGGATGGAAGAAGAAACAAGATAAACAAAACTACAGGAAAAGGTGATACATAACTCAGAGAAGGGATAGGGATATGGAATGAGGAGATTGAAATACAATAAAGAGGGAGAGGGAGGTGTTGCACTGAAGAATTATGTAGTAGTTGTCACCCTTAAAACTACCACCGATAAGGGTAACAGGAGTGAGAAATGGCAGAGTCTTGTCTGCAACTAGAAAGCCCTATGACCTTAGCATCCAAAGGCAATTACAACAACCACAACAAAAGCCATAAGCTCAAGCAGAACCGATCACATGAGCATCCTAATTGCAAGGCTCTTGAATTAGTAAAATGTGATACTAACTACATGGTAGTGTTGTTTTTAAACTGTAAGTTATATGGGAAAAAAGACTATAAAATCTTTTGACACAACCTGGATTGGTACCATGCCACAAAACTTTCTATATAATTGTGGCATGATAAAGCTAAAACTCAATCTGAAACTCCATAATTTCCTTATTATAGATGTTTACTTTCTTTACGTGGAGAGTCTAAAGACAAGATGTCAGTTGCACAATAGAGTCGTTTGGAAAAGGTTGCTCAAACATAGGGGGCAATTTTAACTGGATGGCATGTGATGGGACCATTTTCTCCTCCAAATCATCAAAACTATCATTGAAATCAGAAACATAATCATCAGATGATCAGATACACAACTTCCTAAGCTCCTACATCAGCAATCTAGGAGCTTATACTCGATGATCAGATACACAACATGCATTATTCAGCACACAGAAAATTTTGTAGACATTATAAATATTTTTTCTTCCATGACAGTTGTTAAAACTAAAAACACAATTCATAATAAGAGACAACATAATAATCTTCCAAATGAATTGTAAGAAAGAAGATTTAATGCAACCTACAATGAAAGATAAGTCTTTTGCTGCCCTCTCCACTTCTTGGAATGCATTTTCTATATGGATTTTCTTCACACAATCCTTTCCTGATCAATATCTTCAAAAAATTATCCTGGAATATAAGGGAAAGAACTTTTTTCTTGATCTATTCCTCCTTGGAAGGAAATCTTTTCACCTATTCTATGTGAAACCAATAAGCACTCATTCACCTGAGACATATGCACGTAAAGTCAACATCTATGTCAAGTAAAGTGAATAATGCAGGAAGCAAGAACTAATCAATATTGTTATGAAAATTATGAAATAGAAAACAACTCTTCAAACTGAAGATTGAAGCTTCAAGTTAAAATGCAGCATAACAATGATAGATATTGAGAGAACCCTGCAAGATAATGAGTGCTTCCATCAAATCACACATGCATAATTAAGATAAAAATATCCACACGAACATTTCATTATCATTCAAGTAATAAAAAAATCCAACCACAATTCAATTGATGAAAGAGTCATCCCTTTAATAGATGCTATCAAGGAACTAAGAGCAGAGGATTGGAGCAATTCATGTGCTTAAAACACAAGGTTCATAAGATAACATCTGAACTAGTACGATAACACATCTTTTAGCTGCATATCCATAGAAGTGATTTAGGCTTACAAATCTGAGGCACATGAAAAGTGATGGATTCTATTAACTCATACAGCTAAGATGATTATAACCTATATGTAGCTAACCAAGAAAACAAAACCCACCCATACGTCAGACTTGGACTGAATATTGCAACTTTTTCGTATAAAATTCTAGCTTGATCGAAACTCTAATTCCAGAACTCACCTAGTCGAGGTGGGCCACTGATAAGATTCCTCTCCCATAATATGCCATAACTGAATGAAGAGCTTCACATATCTCAACAGATTTAATAAACTAAGTACCTATTGGTAAAATAAGCCAATGACAACCTTGTCACATAAGTGAATGTATCTCCAAACACCCGTTAGGCCTTTGGAACTTGACTGACTGATCATTTATTTATTTGGATTTGAAGGAATACAGTTTGGTGATTATCAGAAACTCAGGAATGTGACAGATCAATGTTTTCTAGAATTGGCATTACTTCTGATAAGTATGTGAACTTAACCAAAGACAGATATCATGTGAATTTGCAAGGAATGAGAAAAAGATACAATTCAATGTGACAAATAGAGCACTTAGGGGTTATATGTAAGACAATGGAGTACATATAAAGAATACAAAAGGAACAAGAATCTCGTTGAACCCACAAATAACATAACGGACATATAAATAATACTACAAATGGAAAGAACATCATTAAAGGGCTATATACCTTTCATTATTGCTTATAATGTTGAAACATTTCTTAAGTAAATATAATATATAGAAGTTCCTCCACCATAGAGAAGAGAGCATACATAATTGCAATGCAGGCGGCATGGATGGCATGAAGATTCTTGGAATGACGATAATCAATAGAACTATAGTAATGAAAGAGATATGGACAACATCATAGTTGTTCGAGGCCATTGCGATATCGGTTCAGGGAACCATCAGACGGTGGAAGCTCCCTAGGGTTAGATCGACGTTTGTATATTCAACAATTTAAGCAGCTAGATCCTAGGATATCTGGAAGCGAGATCCCATATCACAGGAATTGAGGTTTGTACTAGGAGGAATTTAAGCACCACTGTACATAAAATGAGATCAATTAGAAGTATATGATAAAATTAGGATCAAGGCAATACCTGCTTGATCCATTATCATACACCTTAACCTATTACCAATGTCATAGTTATAGTTCCCCAATTTACTATAATAATATAGTTTAATAATATCATAATGGGCTTACTATCATATTAAACTGTAGTTTTTAATAACATAATATAAGGTTACAACTTTAAAATGTATAAATACATATGCTCCTAAAACCTCTATCGGAAAAGGTTGTTTTAATGTTGAAAAACCCTCTAATTGATCATCTCGACATCGAGATGTATGAATATGAAAAAAAAGAGATTTTGAGTCCCAAAAATAGCACATCATGCAACACATTATCTAGACCGTCAGTTTTCATGATTTTCATGTGTTCATAGATCTACTTGATTTTAACCATTTCTGGAGTTTAAAATTTTATAATTAGATATGAAAATAAATTTTTAGATAATCCTAAAAAAATTTTACACCGAAATTATATGTTACAATAAATTTGGAGGTGTGCCTTAATTGGATTGTTTAAGGATGCAACCTTATAAAAACCACACCCAAACATAAATTGTAGTATACTATGATGTGGTATACACCACAACTTATCATTTTCTAAAGAACTAAATCTATAATCCCAAGGAGAGGAGCAGTAGTTCAATTGATAGTATAACTCCAATCCTTGGAGGGATCCTATAAGCATGTAGACCGAGATCTCATTTTATAGGGAGCAAGATACCTATTTCTTTAAATCCAGGTCTCTTTAAGATTCCTTAGAGGAGCCGCAAAATCAATTTCTTAAGGTGGGACCGTGGCCTTACCCCTATGGTTCCCACAACTATGGACATCATGGAGGTTCTTGCAGCAAATAAAATCACCTTTGAGATGTTCTTCAACTAGAAGAGCATACATGATTCATGTAATTCTAACTTATTAAATTAAAATGGTATAAACCTCGATGTTTATTGTGACAATTAAAATGCAAGTCGTAGAAAAATCCGACACAAAGTTACACCTACTTTTAAGAACTTAAAATGCATCTGCAAAGGACCGAGACAACAAAAGTAGACGTAAATATAATAGGGACTCGAAATCGATCTTCAAGCCAGTTGCAACTGAAGTCGGACCTAGCAGTGACTGTAGAATGGGTTAACAACTGATTTCCATGCATGTACATAACATCGTCAACTGCATTTATTATTCTATAAAATTCATTGTGGTTTGCTTCCTTTGACTCAAGAAGCTTCATAAGCTGAAAAGTAAAATAACATGATTCACAAAAACAGATGCAAAAGACACAACATTGAGTAAACAACAACAACGAGATAAAGTTAACTCACTTTCATTATTCCTAAGATCAACACTAGAGCACAACTATGTTGATAAACCAAAATAATAATTGAAAATTGTACTTTAATGTATGGCAATGTCTCATTGGGTAAATATGCGAGTATTTCATATTTCATTAGTTTGTTGTCTCAGCACATATGTCATGATATGCTATAGTGACGCTACTTACCATGAATTGCGACGATGGTAGGATGTACGCAAATGCACACAACAGAAATGTAGATACATAGTTTCCTGTCCATCAACGCAGTCAAGTCATAACATGTAAGGCCATGCAGATAGTGGGCATGTAGGAACACATTATTAAGCATCCTCTACAGATAAAAGCACAAATGCAAATGAGCAGTAAACATTGTCCACACTAGCAAGCACAATGACACCATCATCCACTCGAACTCGCGACTACACACACATATAAATAGATAGAAATAGATGAGAGAGAGAGTAGTCAAGAGGAAGAATATAGGACAACTCAGAATATAGCTAACAACATCACATGAATATAACATGTCCTCAGATTGCCATGCTTTGGATTGTCTCGGTGGTTCAAGGCAAACAAATCAGAGTGAAAAATGCTTAAATGCATGCGAACACAAACTGTCCGGGTGAATCGAAATGGAACATTTCTGAAAGGAATTTGAGTATTGTCAATAAGAAAATAGGACATGGAAATTTAGAATTGACAAAAGCTGCATGCGAGGCTTCTCCTTGTTTGGTAATGTGTTTAAATGGAAGGTGAAATGGTATCATGCATGTAGTTTACTTATCTTATTTAGCACAAGTGCATTATTTTCAGTAAGACAACAAATTATGCTCCATATACATCAAGTTCTAATTTAATATCCACTAGCTATATACCAAAAATAGTAGAATTACAAACTGAATATCATCTAGAGAATATGTAAAAATGAGACTACAGTCCAAAAGAAAAGCCTTGAAACAAGATGAAGAGTATAGAAATCAGATCGACGCTTAGCAAGAATCTTCATGAAGTAAATATGGGTAAGAGAACAGTACATGGCAAAGGAAAGGGAGTTTGTACATCCATGTACGATATAAGAATGAAAGTGCTAAAAGGCTTCCTCAATCTTGGTGAAGAGAGACAAAATGGAACACAATGAATGGGGAAAAGATCAAGGATGAGAAGGATGAATAATCATAAACTAAAAAAATATGGGGCTTTTGAATATACAACTAACATAATGGTCAATGACATGGTTACAGGGAGCTTCCAACCAAGGTGTTCCTCCAAACTTGAAGCACAACTCTTTAATTAGGAGTAGAAACTTTATCTGACCATGTCCTAGTGTTTTGGGATCGCGTCCCCGGTTTTCTAGGAAATTTTTTCCACTATATTTGTTGAGGAAGCCTCACCTCTCCTTCGACAGGCACCATTGTGGGATCCACAAATGCATTACAAGGTAAGTCTTGGGTTTTTAAGAAAATTCTAGATCAAATCTGAAAAACAACTCACATCTCAAAATATCTCAATTATATTTAAAGCTTATCATAGTTTCAAAGTATTTATTTGCCTAAAAGGTTTAATGTATGGGCCTTCCCCATCTTGGGAACTTCTAGCAAGGAACGTTCCAATCCCATTCCAAACAACTACTATCCACAACACCAACATGAAAAGTCTGTGTGTGGTCAAAGAAACTTGTCACACAAGGTGTGTATGCAAATGTCTTCCTAGAGGCCCCTTAAATTTTATACCTTTATCCCATAATACATGGGACATGTCAATCCCCTTGTGTTCGAATTTCCACGTCACTCTCTAGCTTAGCTTATATTCTACCAACACAACTACAAAATTAATAAAGATACTGACCTTTGTAACAAGAATAACTGTAAATTACAGAATTGGGCAACCTATATTGTTCATTATCTTTCACTATTCTACGAAAGAGCCACAAAACCAAAGTCATCATGAGCCTCATATTCGTAGAGTGGCAAATACACCAACAAAAGGGCCTTTCAGATGACTAAAAGTCACAAATGGAGTGTAAATAAAATAAACCTACCCGAACCACGTTCATAAGAAAATTAGATATTTTGGACAATGATGGTTCACTATGACAGTACCATCATCATCATCTAAACTATTTGGGGTCGGCTACATGAACCCTATTCTGCCATTCTGTTGATAGGTTCAGGATTCACGGCAAGATTTGGCAAAGTTTTACGCTAGCTTCCCTACCTAACACAACCCTCCTCCTTTAACTGGGCTTAGGACTCACATAACCGGCTGGTAGCCAGCCAAGGCAGAGTTATTTATATATTATTCCATCCATACATCTTAAACTACTTGGATAAGGATTTCTTTATACAGCTCAAAGCAATATGTCTCAACTCCAAGAAAACATGCATTGCACTTTACTAAAGTCACGTGTCATAGTAGTAGATGAAAAAAATGAATGATCCAGGATAGAGAAAGAAAGCTTAAAATTTCCTAGCACGAAAAAGCGAGTTCCTTTAGATAGCAAACATAAGGATGGAAGATGAATAAGATGCAATTCTGATCCTTAAATAATCTCAAGTTATAGATGTAAATTCATAAAAAATAAAATAACCTGGTTTTGTCTTCTAACAGCATCAAGTGTGTTGGCAGGAACCACAAGACTCAATCATAGATAACTCATTCCAGATGATGGAGAGTGCATCATAGTTTCCCTGAACATGCTCTGGTTCTTTACGAAGTTTCACCATCTAACATCAATGTCAGCTAAATATAAATCCACATCATAATGCAAATGTCCACCACTTCTCACTGTTCTGAAATTTTTACTATGTGCGAATAGGGATTGCTCCATCATGGTGACCCCATTACTTTCAATCATAGAGAAAGAATTTAAATCATTGGCCCATAATGAATAATTCTTTCCATCTAGCCTGATGAAAATAATTGAGGTAGTATCTCCATGCTTTGCAGCCATTAAAAAAAAAAACAAGTAAACAATGGTCCTAATCCCCTTCACAAACATTCACTCTAATCCCTATCACAAACATTCACTCCTAGAGAAAACATTTTAAATCACTGGCCCACAATGAATAATCCTTTCCATCTAACCTGATGAAAAGCTACTATGCAGCCATAAAAAAAAAGAATCTAGTAATCAATGACCCTAATCCCGATCACAAACTTTAAATGAAAGAATTGAATACCTGTTTTATAAAATGGACAAACTTGTCCAATCAAGGCTAAATGTATCAACTTCTACTGAATATATATCATCTAGAAACCAAACCTTCATCCATAAGAATTCTAATTTTATCAAAGAAAAATCTTGATGCCAAACTTCACAAAATCCTATATCATCCATATAGCAAACATGCTAGTCGAAGAATCTAGTAGGATCCTACCGTTGCATTTGTAAGTTGAAGGGATCATGACTCAATCCACCCACAACCTCTAAAACTCAAAAGTCTTTACCTCAACTAGTATGAATCATAGCCCCAACCCCATTTATTTATATAAGTTGTGTAAGCCAAAGAAAACTAATGTCGTCACTGGTTTGAAAGTTTTGAAGTGTCACAAATGATGCTTGCAAAACCCCAACATATGCAAAAAGCTTTGCAGTTTAGCACACATACTGAAAAAGTACTCCAAAAACCCAAGTTTGGTGTCATGTATTTGCATCGACGAGAGGAGCAAAAGCCACGAACTAAATTTGGGAGTCAAGCGCAAATATGTGACTGTATCGATGTTATTGAGACAAGTGTGGTCATCTAGTCCAACAGGATGGAGCAAGAACCAGAATTATAACTGGCCCACCCCAATCATTGAATGGGTAGATTGGTCAAAACCAGTTTGAACCGAATTGAACAAACGGATCAGTTGAGTCAACCAGTTCAAACTCGTGTTGAAAGGTTAATAATTCGAATCCAAACTGTCCAATTTGAATTGGAACAAGTGGGTTTCCTGGATTGCGGCTAGAGATTTGCCCAAATCCAATTCTATTGCCCACTTCACTATATTGAACCACGCAATTTACTTGTCTAACTCGGCTGATTCCTCATGTCTAAACGATTTTTCAAAAAATTTCCCGTGTCCGAACAAATACCTTTTTTGTCCAAAAAAGTGATTTTTCCATCGTTTTATCAATCTTTGCTTCTCTTGAGTCATTTTAGTCCCAAATACACGTGATCTTGTCCTATTTGAAAGATCTACAATATCTAAAGCTTCTTTTTTCAAAACAAAGTTATACTCTTTTAAAATCAAAGATACAAAATTTTTTTTATTTTTTTGGGGGGAATTTTAACCCTAATCACTCTGGACCGTGTTTGAATAATTATTATTTTTAATGAATTTGACGAATGAACCAATGTCTTTTTTATAAATTTGACAATCGAAAAACTACTTCAAAACAAAATTTTTTGAAAACCAGTTTGAACAGTGAACCAGCTGGTCCTACTAGTTTCAACCAGTGCGATCTTCCTAAAATTGGACAATGCAAACACATCCCTTGACTCTAGAACACCTCGTCATATCTTGAAAAGAATGACGTCAATGTGTTCCTTGAAAAGTAAGTCCAGATCTATGATTTTCAGAGAAAATGGAATCTAGATGATCTCTCAGTCACAAATGTAAAAGGGGTTTCAATTGGCTTCATACCATGACAAAGTGAGAATTCTTCTGAGGACTATGTGTAACCCTAAAAGGGCATATATATCATTAAATAATGGGATGATGGACGCGTTTGAGCATGTTACAAAACCATTAGAGGACAAGCTGCCTAACCAATAGAAACTCTTGTATCATAATAGAGTACCTAAATCTGTAATTTACCATTAGATAGCGAAAGTTGAACTCCAAAACACTTTGAAGATCCATGCAAGTCTAAGTCAACAGGGCCCCATTACTATAAATAATGGGGCTTTTCATTAAGGACCCTGAGAAAATAAGTTTTTCTCTAGTGACAAAGTTAGATTTACTTCTGGTGCTCCTTGGGTGGCACATGCACCTAGACCAATCCCCCAGCTTAGATTAGCCAGAGTCATGTTCACAATTCGTTCTCAAATACCATAGTTCAATGTCGAGAATAAGACTCATCACGGAATAAGTTAAATCTCATGTTTTCATAGCAACTTACAATAATTTCTAGCTTAACTAATTAAGATTTACGTGAACACTTACCAATGCATTTCAACAAAAAAGAAAAAGAAACTGCTCAGTAAACATGCAAGAAAGCACTAAAGGGCATAAGAAAAAATGGCATCGCAAAGGACGATAATCATCAAAAGTTTTTGAATTTTATGGATTTGACCTCCACATTAGGACTTAGTATATTGCTTGTAAATTGCTTTGGATATTTAATGACAACCAACCTATGAGAACAATTAGATGAAGGACACAAGCATGTTATAAAGGAAAAGTCAGTAATCATCAAACTAGTTAATTACACAAAAACACCCACCCTCACTAGATATTACAAGGAATGCTCTAGAGTAACATCATGACGTCTCCCTTGATCAATTGGTGAGTTAATAATATGAAACGTAACATTATGTTGATTAACATCCTGTTCTAAATCAGATCATCACCAAAGCAGAAATTCATCTTTTATGAATGCTACTGAGTCTATTTAATCAAAATTGATGTATCAAGCATCAATTCATCAATGTTCAAATTTTGGTTTTGGAGTTCTACTTCTCCTAATGCTTTTGACAAACTTATTTCTCAAGGAAATGCATTCAAGCTTTCCTAACCGCTCATTTCGATCCAAAACGTTAAAAGAGGTAATCAAGGACAAAGCAGATATTACTCCTTTAGTCTCGATGAAGGGTGTGCTATTCTCTAAGCAAAAGCTCCATCATTAATAACAATTATGACAGTACCATGCATTTTAGTCTCTTCAATATGACATAGTACCATGCAATTGAATTCTCTGAGAGACAATTATACGACAATATCCTTAAAACTAGTTTAGGAAAAGAAAGGGACAATCATAAAATGATAAGAAAATTCCTTTAGATTATAAATTGTAACGAAATCTCAACCAGCAGAGCATGACAGCTATTAGCCTCCGTTAGTATCAAGTTGGATGTGAAGCACACAATAAGCTGACTCTTTAATTAAAGAAGGGCATGAAGACTCAACCCCTGGCAACAATTGAGTGAATTTCTTTCATGTTAACCTTGGTCATCATTTCTTTTTGAGCAAATCTTTGCTCTGGAGTCACAAAGACTAGTACTGATAAAAAAGACGACCAAGAATTACTATTCAATGAGCTGCCCTGCGAGAATTTGCCATGACCAGTAATTAAGAAAATTGAGCTTCAAACACACATATAAGAAGGAAGCCATAAAATATTCAGAGGGGGTTTTAAGATGTAAACACTTGGGGAATGGAATCCTTGGCAACAAAATGAGTCTTCAAAAACATGCCATCTAAATGTCAAAATTGTCCAAACTACTGGCGTATGGTTGAAAAATAAAATGAAGTGAACTTGTCCCTTTTAATACATGCCATTATCTAACGACATTATGTAGCAAATTCATTATGAAAAGATGTATTATTAGATCCCAAGCAAGATCCTTATTGAGGGTATTCTATTTTTCATATGAAAATGGCACTAGCCAAAAACGAGATGCAGCTTTGTGACTTCAATGCCGACATCAAAATATGTTAAATATAATCAAGAAATGTAAATGCTAAAAACGCTTGATACTCGGAGAAAAAGTACTGAATTAGAGTAAAACATTGCAACCAATGTTCATAAAAGTGGAGGCGACCTCCTAGGGTGAGAGGAGTGGGGCATCATTATATTTGATGTGTGTATCTATTACCTATTTATCAATGATCATCATCCAAGCCTTAAAGTACTTTTTTTAGCACTGTTGCATCTAGGCGCCACCTAAGATCATAGCTGCCTGGCCGCCTATTTAGAAACGCTTAGGCGTGCCCTAGTCGGCCGAATCTTTCAACAGTGATTGCATCAAAAGTGAATCAACTAATTAGGACCAATAGTTACAATTATTATTTTTGCCTGATCAATTGAATCAATTGACACCATCAAGATTAGAAATACTCTTTAAAATGAACAAGAGGGCAATAGAAGCTCCATAACAATCACAAGTGTCAGCATGGATTCCTTTTTTTTTTCCTTGCCTGATCAATTGACACCATCGAGAATAAAAATGTTCTTTAAAATGAACAAAAGACCATTATAAGCTCCCTAACAATCACAAGAAAGCAGAAGCACATAAGACATGAATGACTAGCCGTATGAAGATGACAGTAGACTAGATAGAGATTTCGCAAAGGGAATCTTGTATTAAAAAATGTGTCAGTTACTAATGGCCAAATCAACTATGCGGAATAGAAGAAATTAAAAGAATACTGCCACTTTAATAATATAATCATTCCTACAATAAGCCCAATTTCCCTTTCAAGTGATTGAAATATCTAATAAAATAGTACCAGAATTAGACACTACTCAATCTTAGGTTTCAAGCAACAAAATAAACATGTGGAAAAGGGAGAGGTTGAAGAACTAAGCCAGTAAGTTATGTCTGAGGATCCAGATATCAATAACAAGTGCCTAGTCGGCGAACTGCTAAAACTTGATCCTTAATGAGGGAGAACTACCTAAACAGAGTGGTAGTTTACATTCGGAACCACAATTACCACCCTAATGGGATGTGCTTATTAAATTCTAATCTTAATGAAATGTGATTGTTAACAATGGGAAAACAACCTAAAAAGAGTAATGCTTACAATTGAAGCAACAATTACCAACCAAACGGGAGCAGTCTCATATAACTTAAACTGATTGATGTTAAAATAATAATTTGTCTGCATTCACCGCCATCTCATCTCTTCTCTCTCTAGAATCATCTCTTACATTTATGAGAGGCAGTGGATGAAGCTAACTAGAAAGGCGGCGGTAAAACCGCCAAATTAACCGGCTTAAAACGCGGTCCATTAAATGGCCCTATAGGAGAAGGAGCTCGCGCATGGAAATAGGAAAGTGGGTGCGACGAAAAGAGCGCTAAAAAAACGTTCAAATGTGAGTGTGGTCTTCAAGACCAAGCTATATCACTCTAATATGTCATATCTTTTATTTCAAATGCAGTAGTGAAATTTTTTGTGAGTGAATACTATTTTTTCTTCGTCCCTATTATCTTTTTTTTGCTATTTTCCGATCAAATTATTATGTCAACGCTTTAAAACATTTGGTATCATAGCTAGATTTGTGCTTCCTAAACAACACCTTTACCTTAGACATCAACTTTCATATGAATTATATCCAAACTCTAATACCCATCCTACTCATGGAGTCTCCAAAGAAATACTCTCTTTATCTCACAAGATATGTGGGATATTGTTGAAGTAGGTTATGCAGTACTAGAAGATGCAGCAACCCTTGATATGTGGTCGTAGGCAAAGCAGAATGAATTCAAGGAAAATAAAAAGAGATATGCAAAAGCCCTTCTCTTCATTCAGCACGCTGTAAGTAAATATATCTTTTCTAGAAAAAAATTACTTCAAAATCAAAACAAGCTTGAGATATTTTGAAAAATGAATTTCAGAGATCTGAAAAGTGATTTCTATCAAACTCCAAAATTTCTAAAGGGAATTTGATAATTTGATAATGAAAAATTGTAAAGTTGTTACGGAATTTTTTACTAGCGTTGCTAGAATAATAAATCATATTAGATGTTATGGAGATGATATTCCTGAAAAAAAATTATTCAAAATTTTTTGAGAAGCTTGCTTGTAAAATTTAATTATGTTGTAGCTGCCATAAAAGAATCAAAAGATTTATCTAAATTTTCACTACAAGAATTAAATGAGTCCCTTGAAGCACATGAGCAAAGAA